GTTTGAACCTACGCTTATACGTTAGAACCAAGGACTTCTCAGCACATATCAATATATAGAGAGCATTCAATTTGAAAGGTTATGCGTTTCATGATCATATGACTGCCATCATCGTTTGTCCAATAAAATCGAACTGGCTTTTCCACTTAAAAAGGAACGGACTTGTACATCTTACAGGTATACTTCTGGTTTTGTCGAACACCTGGTATTCTTGTGAAAAGAAAGAGATGGGATAGTTTGCAAAATCTCCCTAATATGGGCGGCTCACCGTACGTTTCGAGACTCGATTTCCTCCATAAATAAATCTGAAATTAGCTACCATGCTGTGTCGAATCGTTGATACTGTAGCATTGCAACTGCTGAGACCACGCAACGAGTTCTTGATGGAAGATCGACTAACAGGAGCAAATTTTCATGCTGTCATGTTGCTGCGGGTGTAGGTGCGAGCAAGCATCGCCGACCTCGTCGTGTGGCTGAGACTGGCAAGACAAACAATGCTCACGATCAAACCTTTTAGAAGAAATAACCTTCACAATACAATATTTCTGTTACGCTGAGTCGTTGAACTCGACGTGGCCGAATATTGCGAAAGTTTATCCTAGCGTACGAACCGGTGCAGTAAGCTTGACGGCGGCGGCGTGCAGGCTCAACTCTTGGACAAACTGTGTGTGCTTGTGGACATGACTGGATGAAAGCGGTCCCCACGTCAACGATATGAAGCTTGCGAGGAACGAGGTGGGTGCGATGTGTTCGCACCTCGTTCCTTGGGACGTCATGGCTCGATCGGCGCAGTGGCGCACGTACGAGACATAAATACATGGCTTTATACACACTGCAATGGCTGCGAGGTTTCGTGTGTGGGTCACACGAACGCCGGTCGGTTGTCCATCGAGTCGATCTTGAACTGAAAGCTCTCGGACCGGACAAACTGAGGCACGACTTCGTCCGCCTCCCGCCCGAGAATCTTGGACGACAAAAAGTCCTGGCGCTTGAGCTGGACTTGAATGCGCTCGGGAACGTTTTCCCAGTACCGTGACACGCTGTACCGAAACAGGAGCAACGTGGCAACGTACAGCACAAAGAGGCGCAACTTGGCCAAGTCGCCTTCGATCGTGTTGTCTGGAAAGTCGAACACGTTGGAAGAATAGACCAAAAAGAACCTGGAGCAAGTGCACGCGTGGTTAGATGTGATCTGCCGTGGCAAACACATACCCGTTGGTGAAGATGCTTAGCGTGACAAGGACTTCGAGCACGGTGACCCACTGCCCTGCCGTCGCGGCTTGGCGCGGCGTCGGTCGGCGGTATTCGTTCAAGAGCCGATACGCATCGATGCGGATTTCGCACACGTTGTTGATGAGGGACAGTAGCGGTGTAGCAGGGAATGCCCCGATGAACAAGATCGTGTACCCAAACTGCAACACGAGCTCGAGGTAGTCGTAGAACGTGCCAAGCCAGCCATAATCCGCCAGGTAAAACTCTTCCTCGAGGGGGTGGATGTGGTCTTGGGGGTGGCCGACTCGACACGCTGTCCACAGGCTCCACAGACGAGGCAAGAGGACCTGTTGTAGGTTCCCCCACAGCATTTGGAGCCCAAAGATGAAAAGAAGCGAGATGCGCAGCTCCCCGAGGCAATCGTTGTTCATGCATTGCACGCCAATGTACCGCTTGACGAACATGACGTAGAAGAGCGCGGCAAAGTTATTGATCACGTGAAACAAGATCGACTTGAGGATGAACGCGCCTACGTCCAGCCAAGCCGTGTGAGCACGGGGGAGTAGACCCAACGGAAAAACCTTCGTGCTCCGACTCGGTCGCGTGGTTTTCGATCTCATTCAGTTGGACACACACCGAGTCGTAGATTTGAAACATGACGGCAATTTGCGCCACGTTGGCCAAATTCGCGACGGGGCCGCCGATAAGAAAGTCCCACGACCCGACTCGAATCGAGTACTTGGCTTCGATCAAGTAGTTTTGCAAGTAAAAGTTCATCGAGACGAGGCCGGCCACGAGCCCAATGAGACCACACAGGAGCAACCAGCTCCAGCACATGCGGTTCAACTTTTCGCGCTTGTCAAAATACAGCATCGGGCGACCTGTAATGGGACTCGGGACCAGGCGCCCGACAAATTGCGGACGCGGCTGCTCGGTCGCTTGAAAGTTTGTCGTGCCTAGGGCAGGTCCATCTTAGCCCGGACGACGTCGAGGACGTATACCCCAGTGAAACGCCAGCGTGGCATTGTAGCGCCCCCAAGACTTCATCAAAAGCGTGGCCCAGATCACGATCCAGACACTGGAACAACCCACGACAACTTGGTCTCGTAGCCCTGAGTTGGGCAGCACGAGCTGAGGGATCCACAATCCGAGGCCGACAACGCCGGCGCCCATCAGCCACGTCGTGTAGTGCGCCAGGAACGCAAAGTACAACGCGATTTTCGACCCAAAGTACGATTGGATGGACGACAGTGGCTGCTGCCATGGCCAAAAGTGCCAGCTTAGCCAAGCTGCGGCAAGCTCCGACCTCTCGGTGGGTTCGTGAGCTGGGTAGAACGCGGCGAGGGTATTGTTGTGCAAAATCTTGTACAGGTCTAGACCAGCGCCGCCGTGCGTATTGGTCATGATGCTCTTCGTGAGGAGCATGCGCTGGGTACTCGAGAACAGCGAGTTCATCGGTCCCCGCTTGAGATACAATCGCTGCATGTCGTCACGGCACGAGTACTTGATATGAATGGACGTGTAGGGACCCATGTCGTAGAGTCCGAGGGTGTCTTGGATGGGGAAGGGCTGAATGTTCTGGAGCGGGTAACCCTGCAGCGCTGCCTCCATGAGCGCTCTTTCGTCGAGCAGCATGTTAAGCGAAATGCGGTCGGCTTCTTTCATGAGCAAATCGGGCGGCGCGCGCACGAGGCAAAAGACAAGACGCCGCACCGCTTTGTTCTTCGACATGGACGAGTAGAACAGCTTGAGCGACAGACCGGCCGCGTGCAGTCGGTGGCAAATGTCTTCGATCGACGGCTTGCGATGCATCGTCGACATCGGAAACACCAGCACGTAGTCCCACGCGTACCCATGCTCGTTCAAAAACGCATCCTGCTCGTAAATCGGCTCGTGGCTCTCCAAGTCACGGCTGCTCTCGCTGTGCCTGGTGTAAATCATCGCGCGCGCGCGGACTGTTGGATCTTGCTGAAAGGTCGCGGCGGCCTGCACCGCCTTCAACATACGACATGTAAAAAAGCGAAAATCCAGGACTTTTATATTCAAGTACTATATGCGTTCAGCTGCACATGGCTTGTTCATATACTTAATATAAGAATGTGGTCATCGTATTTTGTAAAATATCCAAACAAGTTAATAGTCGAAGTCATCGGCGTATTCGGCGGCGTGGTTGTCGTGAAGCGTCTGCCGCAGGCGGTCGTACTCGGCGATGAGGTGCCGCCGCTTCGTGCGCAGAGCTCGATGCCTGGCATAGAATGCCTGGAGGGCGTCAACGATGTTGGCAGCGATCCCTGGACTCGCGACGAAATCGTGCTCAAACACTACGACGAACTCATCGTCGCTGTACACGGCTACGCACACGTCATCAACATCTCGGTGATGCCATGCAAGCACATGGCTTACCCGTACAGATCTGCCCTGCCCCACGAGGACGCTCACGCAGCGCGGCCTCGAATTCAGGGTCCAAACCGCTGCAGTCCATGCCAAGGTTGTCCTTGACCACGTAGCCGCCGTAACGTGCCAAAAGCATCATGTGCACCCGACGCGCCCGTTTGAGGCGGTGGAGAAGCGACGTCGATATGTTGCTCGACAACACTCCTCCGGACCCCAGCACCATCGCGTACTCGTTGTTGTCGCCAAAAGTGACGAGCGAGTTGGGCTCCATTTCTGCACGAAACCGGGGCGGCACGTCGTCGCTGGCCCAGCAGCAGTCGCCGGTGCCGTCCGGCTTAGCGCCGCTGCAGTACCATTCTCCCCGCGGCCCCAACGCCATGCGATGGATTCGTCGGCCTACACGTGGAGATGGAACGAGTGGGCGGCATACTTGGGTCCGTGCCATACCTTTTTGAACGCAATTAAAGAGCTGCCTTTCAAATCGCCGTGGCAAGTGCCGCATGAACATGCGCTGACTCACGTCGCCCGTTTCTTGGACTTCGTCCAGGACCAGCGCCATCATCCCGGCCTGCTGGAGCACGAGTTGGATGAGCTTACCGGCGGGGCCTTCCGCGATCCTTGGCGGTGGGTTCTCAAGCGGGGCGACGTCGGTTAGAGCAAGCCACCCGTGGAGATCCGACTCGTTCCCGTGGGAAGATGGCACAGTCGTTCGCACAAAGGTGGTGGATGAGTCGAGTGAGACAGCGGCATTGCTTTTGACGAGCGAGAATGCCGGCAGCTCGATGAGGGGGACCCCGAGGTTTGTGTTGTTGGCGTTGCTGCAAAGGTCCATCTAAAGGAAGAGCAATGTGGTGAGCAACGACTGCACCTCCAAGGAATGAGGTGGTACGGCGCGAGGAAGAAGGTACAATTGCGGATTTGTGTCGATGGTCAGCCGGATCAAGGGACCCCAATCGTCAAGATGGACCCACAACTTGGACTGCTCCAGCCGGCCGTACGTGCGAGCTTCCAAGTCGACGACGGTCGCTTCAATGGACACGATATCGTGCGGATATGCTTTGTAGAGGCTGTTGGACGGGACGGATGGCGATGGCCACAGACTCAACGGCGTCGGTCTCGTAATCACAAACGCAAGCAACGTGTGGACGATCTCGAGGCGCTGCAGACAAGGAGTGCCGTCGCGAGTGGATTCACGGACGTACTGGCCTTCATGATGGCCCGAGAGTTCGACGAAGATCACGTTGTCTTCGCCGTAAAGACGTTCCTTCCCGAGAATGATCGTGTTCACAGGGAATGATGTGGATTGCGCTGTCACGAAGCTTGGTGCAACGTACACGGGCATGGGCTGTTCCACCACCACGTAAAGGAACGTGCCGCGTTCAGGCAAGGGTTCGAGCATGGGTAACAGAACTGGAGTACTACCAGGAACTGGTCGCTTGGAGGACTTGTCACAGTCGAAGAAGGGTGCAAATCGGTCGCGAAACTCGTGAATTGCTTGCTTCAGCGCGTGATTCGGCACGAGGTGCTTATGGTGCACAACCGCATTCGTGATGGGACTTGTCGAATTGGAACGAAACCATTGCGTGATGCTTGTTCGTTCGTACGAGTGTCCATCGGATGCGACGACAGGGTCCACCATAACATCGTGGGTGATGGGGCACACGAACGAGTCCAAGTATTCCTCCATGATGCTGCAGCAGCGACGTGTACCTGCGCGGACAAGGTGCCGCCCGTGCCAGCGGCCTCGGAGTTTTCTGAAAATTGACAATGACGTCATAAGACGCACCAATGCTGGCATGGATTTACTACAAACGGTGCTACTTTACTGGATGTGGTGCGTGTTCTCAAAGCGACGATACACGTTCAACACGTACGACATAAAGGCATGGAGAGCGGTGAAGGTGAGGGCGTCCACTGCATCCGCCACTGAGCAAGGACACTCCTCTTCCTTCATCGCCCCGCAGACGTCGTCGTCGCTGCTGTCATTGTCGACGACGGTTAGTGCTTACATGTAGGTGGTGTAAGATAAGGATGCAATAAATTTGATTGGATAATATTCAAAATATTCATCCAATAAAATACATCCGATGTTTTGATGGCGTAATCTTTGGCGAGATGCGATCGGTAAGTCGTGCGTGATGCGCCACTCTGGCCGACGTCGCCTCCCGATCATTCAACGGCGGCTACGTCGTGCTGCTCCTTGTCGTCGCTGAAGTCGTCGTCGCCTTGTACGATTGCTGCAAGTGGAGGGCCCAGTTCTATGACCTGCTCTTGCCAAACGAGGAAAGCATGGATGATGTGTGAGGTCCCTCCGTTGAGAGTGCGTGGCAGAATGGTTGGCGATACAGGAAGGTACCCCACGCGACACAATCTTGAAAGCAGGTCCGTAGGCGTGTTGTAGCTGCCGATCGTTGAATGGACGTCGAAGGTACTCAAAGGAAATGCGCCATTCACACTGCGGCCGAGCGGCCCACGTGCTTGCTGTGTTCGACTGTCAAAGGTAACAATGTCGACTGGTTCTACTTCGTGATGGACTCGCCGTCGCACGATTGTATCTCGTGGAATCCCTAGCCTTCGAGACGCTGAATGGCTCAACAGTTCGCATCGACCAACTCACGCGAGTGTCAGGTACGTAAACTTGTTAAACCCGACGGGATCAAAATGTTGTAGTGTTTGCAAGCAGTGGCGGTGGCACAGAGACACCACCGGTGTTTATATGAATGGACTTCCAAAACCCCCGAGACGTGGTCCGTGGCACGTAACCAGTTCGAGCAAGTCGCGTGAACTGCCGTGCCACTTGCCTTGGGCATCGTTGGCCGCCTGCTGCCATCGTGGTGGCTCTAAACGCTCGACCAACGCGACCAAGCACTGGGCCCATCCACCTCGTGAATAAGCCGTACACGGGGCGTGTCAAGTTCATCGTGTCCGAATCCTTCGAGTGTGGCGTTTTCCCCCAGGTGCTCTCGTGCGTCAACCGCATCGACGTCCCCTCTTGATCCGACGCGAGCTGCGGCGCGCGCTCATGTTCGTCGTGTCGGTGGCACGAAGTTCACTTTGCTCTTGCACGGTCCCAGCTACTCTGCAAGTGCACTTTGCAAGTTGAAGTTCAAAGTCGCATGTCGCGGAACGCTGCGTCGTATTTTGAGCATCGTGAGCAGCCCAGCGCAATGCAGCCATACCACTGACATGACGGAGTGGCCTCGCTAAAGATTCAAGACGCTCCGCCACGGTGGCTGCGCTGCCTCCCTGTCGGTGTGGCCCGATGTCGTGCCGTGGGTCCGACTATTGGAATTTTTTGTTGTTGTGTGTGTAAAAATGATTTTTTTTCTTTGGTACTTTTGATTTAAAAACACGCGCCGGACCGTCGGCGCCCAAGTAATGGGTGACGACGGTACAGCTCAACGCCGCGACCGACAGCATTGGCGCATTCGATGCCGACCGATGGCAGCAACGTAATGACGAATGGAGGCGTGGATATGCCGCTCTGCTTTGTTTCATTCTTTCTCGTTGGGCTGCTTCTGTTCTGCTGCATGCGCGTCGTGTGCTCCAAGCAGATTGCACAAGGCGACGATCCGTTGATCCCGAACGAGTACGTGCCACTCCAGTGAAGCGAGTGGCTTCTGTGGGTAGCACGGACTAACTCTGCGTGGGTTTGCAGGGAAGTTGGCCATCTTGCGGGCCTTACGCGCGACAAATTGGAGGGCAGGTACAGCTTGAGTTTTGGATTCGTCACCGGCGTTCCAGGACGAAGCTAACGTTCCTGGATGAATGGCCACAGGGAAGCTGAAGCGAAGAAGTGGACGTGCGGTATTTGCGCCTTCCACAATCCGTCCGACAAACTCACGTGCGTACTCTGCGATACAAGCAAAGGTACAGCAAGCTCGTTCATCGTATTCGAGGTGCTTGGCGGACTAACTGGCATTGCCCAGCAACGTTCTTGCTCGTCATGCCTGAATTTCGAGCCGTTGCTGGGACTTTACCTCTTGACCAACTCAACGACAAGCAGCGCAGTGCAAAGTACGTACACACGCTTTCCAGCGATCCCGTCATTTCCGAAACGCGACGACATTTCTCCAGTGGGCCACGTCGTCATGACGCTGTAGGAATCGCAACCAGTGGAAGCGAAAGCACAATGGATCCGCGTGGGAATGGCAGGCATTTCCACCGGCCAACGCGCACGACTACCTGGTGCTGGCGGCCGCTTCCACCACCGACAGCCCGTGCCTCATGCAGCCATCGACGATGTCGGCAGGCAGATCTGTCCTTGGTCACGTGCTGCCGTCATGGTGGTCTGGTCAGCTTGCCGAACTCCAAACAACACCATTCTCCCTGAAATACGCGTGGCTTCTCTCGTACTTGGCGACGGTATATCCTTCGCACGCCAAGCTAACGCTACGTCGCGAATCCATCTTCGACCAGTCCATGTATGCCTTGACCAAGGCTCCTACAGACCAGCTCTGCTTCTTGACCATCATCTCGCTGGTTGGAGAGAGCGCAGTCGACGCCGGCGGAGTCACACGGGAATGGTACACGCTGCTCACGATGGCCATCATGGATGAACGGAGAGGGCTCTTTACAGTAACCAACAACGCCGACCAGTCCTACTACATCAACCCCAACTCGGAAAACGTCCATGGCGCGAACCACTTGGATCGATACTTGGCCATCGGCCGGTTGCTGGGCCGAGCTATCATTGACGAGCAAGTCCTGCCATTCCACTTTTGCGTCCCCCTCTTCAAGATGCTCCTGGGGTATCCTGTCTCCATGGACGACATTCGGTATCTCGACCCGACTGTGTACTCGAGCCTCGTGTACGTCCGAGACTGCGACGACGTCGACGATCTCGCGCTCACGTTCAGTGTGACGGTGGACGAAGCCGGGTCGGAGGTCGAGCTTGTGGTTGGCGGACGAGATATCGCCGTCACGAACGCCAACAAGGCCGAGTACGTGGACAGGATGGTGCAGTACTTGCTGTTTGACCGGGTCGCGCCGCAGCTACAGCATTTGGTCCAGGGCCTGTACGACGTGCTGCCGCAGGAGCTGTTGATGCCGTTCGATTACAAGGAGCTCGAGTTGATCCTGTGTGGGTTTTCCGAGATCGACGTGGCCGACTGGAAGCGGTCGACGATCGTGTCCAAGTCGTTGGAGGACGTGGTCGGTTGGTTCTGGGACGTCATCGAGTTTGACATGACGGCGTCGGAGCGGGCCAAGCTGCTCCAGTTCACGACCGGATCGTCTCGCGTGCCGTTGCAGGGCTTTCGTGCGTTGACGAGCCAGCTATGCCCGTTTTCGCTGCACGGCGTGCCGTACGAGCGCGGCGTTTTCCCCAAGGTGCACTCGTGCTTTAACCGCATCGACCTCCCGATCTACCCCACGAGGGCGCTGCTGGCCGAGGGCCTGTGTGCCCTTGTCAACATCCAGAGCATGGCGTTCACGATGGTGTAGGCGTCTTCGTATTTAAATCCGACGCAGAACCACAACGTCTTTTGCCACAACGTCGATCGAAACGACAGCATGTCTCGTTCATGGATGCGGTGGCATTTCGGGATGGGAGGTCGCGTCGTCAAGCGTCTACTGGCAGAGCAATCCTGAAGCGTTGGCCACCGCCTCCACAAAAATTCCCACGTGGGGCAATCGAAAGTCATCGAAAGGAGCGTCCTCCACTCGACCAAGCGCGGTCGCCCTCGGGCCATATCAACGTCTTCCAAACATTCGTCCTGGATCGTGGGGAATGTAGAGATGTGGGGGAGGTCGACCAAGGGCATGCTCCACTGCTACTTATGTCACAACCATTTAAATAGTGCCGTGCCAACTACACTTTGTCCACGGACCTCTTTGGATGCTGCACGGCAACATTACGACGTCAAGAGGCGGGCATCTTCATCGATGCGGAGCCAGCATTTCGTCTCGTGGCATCGGTGGAAGGCTTGCCCCGTCGCGTCCAGCACGACGGCTTCCGACTCGACGACATCACCCATATCCATCCACGCGAGCACGTGAGCCGTGGATACTGTCGGCCACAGCGCGAGAGGCGTGCGGCGACCAAGGCAAAAGCGCATGCGCACTTCCATGGCTTCCACGAGCTCCAAGTCCCCCAGCGACACGTACGCAGTGTCGACAAGCGACCCGAAGGCGTCGCCGTCGACTTCGACGAAGGGCGCATTGTTGTCGACAAGCCCAACGAGAAGTGCATCGACGGGCAGCGGACGAACAAGCTCGGGCGGCATCGTGTCATGGCTGTCTTGGGACCACAGCACCGACGTCTCCCGCGAAACTCTGTAGACGGACGGCGGTTGGTTTGGGGATAGATTGGTGCTCGGTCGCGGCGGCGGGTTGTTGGTATAGAAAACCACCGGAAGTGGTGGAGACGGCGGTGGATATTCAATGGGGTACACCATGGGACTGCCGTCGGACTGGGTGAGTTTGCCGTTAAACTCTGCAATCGCCGCTTTGAGAGCATGATTTGGGACAACCTGGCGCAGGTTCAAGCGGTGATTTGTGAGTGGACTCTTGGAGCGCTTCGTGAACATGCCGAGGAACACCTTGCGATCTTGGATGTTGTTGCGGTCGTACGAATACCCATCGGCAGCGACGACAGGGTCGACCATCGTGGCTTTGCCGATGGGACAGCAGAAGGCCGAGAGAGTCGACGACAAAGGCGGCAGCGCGCCATGGCGCGCATACTCTTGAATCGCCAAGCGGAGGGTATGGTTTGGCACTAACCGTGACGAAGGCAATGGAGCGTTCGTGGCCGGGCTCGTGACTTTCTGTTCAAACCACGTCTCGATATCGTCGCGCTCGTACGAGTGACCATCGCACGCGACGACGGGGTCCTTCATCACTTCCTGGCTGATCGGGCACACAAACGACTCGAGCGCCTGCCGCGGCATGGTCTTTGCCGCCGCCCTCCTTGGTTTTTCTGGACGTGACATTGGATCCCGTCGAGTGTTGGTCCATGTAGGATTTACCGGAATTTCCCAGTTTGCCTGTCGAAACGTCCATCCCGTACCCGGAAAAACGCAATATTTTGCTAAAATTTCGCCTTCATCGGTCCAAATGAGAGTTTCGACGTGTACGAAGTGGTGGGATAAACCTGCACATGACATCATGAGAAATGTTGGATTTCTCGTTGGAACCCCGAGCCATGTCATGACGACGCCAGCCACGCCGCAGCCCTCGTCACGTTGTTTGGAGCGACTGGTGGACGCTACAGCAGGGCGCCCAGCTTTTGTGTGTGTGTGCTTCGAGATCGGCGTCGGATTTGCCGCAGGCGCCGTCTGTGCATGGCAGCGACCAGAGACACGGCAAACGCACTCTACGGTGGGGCCAATCTATGCCATGATACATGCATATTGAACGATCGTGGAGCTGTGGCCGTGAGCCAAATGCCTTGAGTTAGCCACGGCTCGGCGCGCTGGTTCGGGAAGTTTGTCGGTGGGGCATCGTTGCCGACGTATAAATTATGACAGGATATAGATTCTTCGCAGGTCTTCTCGATCATGTCACAAGTGGAAAGATCGCCAAGATGGACAACGTGCCCACACTCGCCGCGTTCACGTGCCCAATCGGCGGTAAGCGCATGGAAGATCCCGTGGTGGCGTCGGACGGGTACTCGTACGACCGCCGCTTCTTGGAGGCATGGTTGGAGGTGCAGAGTACAAGTCCCACCACACAACAACCATTGCCATCGAAGGTTTTGCTGCCAAACCACGCGCTCAAATCCGCCATCCACGAAGTTGCAGTCCACGGTGTGTCGATCGAAATTGTATCGTTCGTCGGTCCCATCACGCAGGATGTGTTTGTCGAGCCCGTCGTTGCCTGCGACGGACACACGTACGAGCGCACGAGTATTCAACACTGGTTTCGCACGAGGCGGACGAGTCCCGTTACCAACGCTGTCTTGCACAACACGACGCTCCTTCCCAACCACACACTCAAGAAAGCTATCGAAGAAGTGTGGCCCAAGTCGTCGTCGCGAACTCTTGCCCCTCCCATCGTCGTCGTGTCGCATGACACCGTCACTTGCGACGGGTGCGGCATGCATCCCATTGTCGGTCCGCGATACAAATCCCATACAGCCAAGAACTTTGACTTATGTGCCGTTTGTGAAGCTTCGGGTGCATTTGTCGCTCAGGAGCCGTTCTTCAAGATTCTGGACTCGCGGATCCTGGGAAGGCCAGCCACCCCGATCATCCCGCCGCCGCCGTCGTCGACGCCACATGCCTCGCCGACTGCACGAGCATCGATGCAATCGGATCCAGGACCCAACAACATGACTCGCCACCCCGCATACACTGTCTGCCATACGTCTGTCACGTGCGACGGATGCTTTGCGTTTCCAATCCGCGGCATTCGCTTCAAGTCGGGCGTCGCATTTGATTTTGATTTGTGCAGTGCCTGCGAAGCGTCTGGGCAGTTTGCATTTTGCGAACCGTTTTTGAAAATCCCCGACTCGCGCAAACTTGGCCGCCCGGCCACCATCGACGTGCACAATGTCGACCACACCGGTGACGTTTTGTATCGATTGCGAATGTCCGTTGCAGTGTGCTGGACTCCCAACCACCTCGACGTCCTGCGGACGTCCGGCGTCAACCCGCTTCTCCCGGTCAACTCGCTGCTCTTGGGCAAGCGCCGCGTCCGGGGCGATGATGGCATTGTATACGTCGAAGTGTCGGGGCGAATTCTAGGCCTTCCAGCAGTACAGGCATACGTCCCACAAGAAATCGAGTCTCTCGGCTCTGACAATCGACGACCCGACATCGGCGTGACACGCGAGCGCACGATGGACGAAGAGGTGATAGCACAGCAGCGCCGTGTGTTTGTGACGACCCGGGCGCTTCCCCTGCGACGGTGGCCGTCCAACCTAGACAGCGCCATCGGTTCGACGCAAATGATCAGCGCACACGCCGAAGTGAGTACGGATGCCGTCGTGCTGAACGAACTGCACCAGCCATTCTACCGCATTGCCCACAAAAACGAGTGGGTGTGCATTCTCGACGACCAAGACGCGATGCTTGTCGCCAGCTAGCATGTACATGGAAATAGTCGCATGATGAGTGCTGGCGTTCCTGCCGCATGGACATTTCAGAAGTGTGCCATTTTGTTTCACACGTTTGAAATGTCTCCGACATCCATGGTTGATGAGGATATCGACATGCCGAAGTGTCGTCGATCGATGACGGTAAAGGAGGCACGAAGGTGTCGGCGGCATGCTCGTCGACGCACCTGCTATGGCCGAGGCATCGCAATGCCCCAAGTGCAGTGTTAAAGTCCACGGAGCGTTCACGCCGTTGATTTGGGCGTTCAAGTCGCACAGGATCGACCCGCAAGCCGAGTCAAACATTTCCACGAAGTCTGACTGCTGCTGCAGGTAGTAATCCACAGGTTCGCAGCGGAAGGATGCCTTTGACAACCCAGCGACGTGCAGCGTGAGGGATGGCGCGGCCGTCCTTTGGATGAACTTGATGTGTTGACAGTCGTTGGTTGAAAACGTAGGTTTTGGCGTATTTTTCTGGTCACGACAAAATAAATATATGAAATATCTGCGCAAATAAAGAAATACATGAATGAAAATCCGACATTGACGGCAATGGCCCGTGAGGACTCCGGGGCGGCGGATCCAACCAACTTCTCCACGCTGGACACGGCGATCTGCATGTCGTACCTCGTGTCGGTGCTAGTCGTCGGGGGCATTGCAACCTACGTGTCTCGGAAGAAGACAACTCTGGACGAGTACTACCTTGGCGGTCGAACCCTGCCATGGTGGATGCTCGGGATCGCAGACGTGTCGAGCTACATCGACATTGCGGGGACCATGATCAACACGGGGCTCATCTATGCGCTGGGAGTGCGTGGCATGTTTATCGAGGTCCGCGGCGGCCTCTGCCTCTTCCTCGCGTTCCAGCTCGCGTTCACGGGCAAACTCGCGCGTCGATGTCCCGTTCGAACGAAGGGCGAATGGTGCATCTCGTTTCTTGCTTCGTTTTCGTCATGTTCCATGTAGGATCAAATTTCGATTCGGCGCCAAGGTGGGAGGTCGGCTCGCCCGGACAGCAGTTGCGATCGTGTCGTTGATCGGCGGTATCTTCAGTGTGGCGTACTTTAGCATCGGCGGCGGCAAGTTTGTGACCGAGTTCGTCGCTGTGCCTGCATACGCAGGCCTTCCGCCCGACTTTTGGGCGTCGGGTATCCTCATGGCGATCGCACTCATGTACACGATCGTGGCCGGATTCACGTCGATGGTCCTCACGGACATTTACCAGTCGTTGTTCATTTACCCATCGTTCGTTGCCGTGTCGATTTGGGGCATGCAAGTAACGCTTCCCGCCGAGTTCCACGTATTCCTCCCGACGTTCAACACGAGCTCGTTCCTGAACGTGACGACGACGCATGATGCGTGGACTGCCGCCGCCCTGTCGTCTCCGAACGTGCCGGCAGAAAGTCCGTTCGCCATGTACAACTCGTTCCGTGGCATCGTGTTCCTGTACCTTACGCTGCAGTGCCTTCGATCGGCATCTGGACCTGGTGGTAAGCACAATCGTGATCCAACGCTGCATTCATGTCGTTTGGACATGATGTGCCGTGTGTCCAAGTTGCCCTAACTACCAGGACCAGGTGGAGGATTGCAAACGGTGCTTGCAACCAAGTCCGAACTCGACGTGCGCAAGCAGAGCATGCTAGCGATGCTCCTGCTGCTCTTCCGATGGGCGTTTGGAGCCGCCATCGCAGTCTTGGCAATTCACTACACCATTGCTCATCCCAACGTGACCCTCGACGCGGAAAAGGTTGTGCCGTTTGTGCTGGCCAACGTGTTGCCTTCAGGTAATGCCGTTGTCGCGCGGATGACCCGCGATGTCTCCACCTTGTAGGCTACCGTGGGTTCGTTGTGGCGTCGCTGCTGGCTGCCGCTCTGACCACGTTTGATTCGACCATTCACAGCGCTTCGTCGTACTGGACGATCGATATTTACCACGCCATCCTGCACCCGAGAGCGACGGCGGCGCAGTTGGTCTTTCAAGCGAGGTTGTCCACAGTCGTGATCCTGTTGCTTGGATGGCTGCTGTCCCTTGGCATAGTGACCATCAACCGCATTTGGGGGTACGTTTGTGCGACTTGGTCAACGAGTCGATCATGTCATGTGCAGGTTCATGACGATTGCCATGTGCGGGGGTGTTGTGTACCCGTTTTTCCTATCGTGGTACTGGGCGCGCTTCAACGGCGCCGGGTGCGCTGCCGGCCTCGTCACGGGCATTGTGGCTGCGGCCACTATCTTTTTGTACGTGTTCGTGGGCACAATGGGAGCAAGCTGACACGTTGATGTGGCTCATCTGCACAGCGCCTGGCCTCATGTGGGCGAGTCCGACGTGTTCTTGTGGTCGTCTACGGCATCGGGTTTTGTGTCGATCGTGACTGCCTACCTCTCTCCGGCGACGACTCCTCAAACTCTCAACACGTTCTACAAATTCGTGCGGCCACCTGGTCTATGGCGAGAGGTATTCCAGGTCTTCGCCGCCATGCATCTGCGGTGGTTTCTCATCGTTTTGTCAACAAGAGGCAGCGAACTCCAACGTCGACGTGGTTGTAGGTGTCGTGCACATGCTTTCGAACTGACGAACTGGCGGCGATCTCGGCCGAGAACTGGAAGGACCTCGGCTGCTCTGGAATGCTGCTCGTCGTGCAAATCGCGACATACGTCTTGGCAGTGAGTGTCGTGCTCAAGGTGTGGCATCAAGCAGCAGTTCTCGCCGTTATCTTGGGGGCGGTCCTCCCAGTTATCTACTTCAAATGGTACCTACCCGTCGACGGCCTGGCTCAAGTCATCTCGTACGAGCCACTGCTCCTCGATCAAGACAAGGACGCATGGGGGTAACCAGTGGCGCATGCACGAAGGCCTCGAACACACGACACGTCATTGTTGATGTGGATGGCTGCGCGGACTCTGCACTTTGTGCCACGAGCAGGGCTTAGACAATCTGCATTCAGCCGTCGGTGAAACAAGTAGCATGTCGTCGAAATTTCGCACGTAAGTCATCACGCACTCCCATCCAGATCGAGCTTTCCATTCCCATCGAAGCAATGTCAAGTTTGCACACAGGGGCGCCTACAACTCGATTCCGTGGACTACTTGACATTGCGTGGGTCCTCGCCAGGCGCTGGGATGCGCTTGATGACTAACTCGGACGTATTCAGCTTTTGCATGATTTTCTACACAAGTTGAATGAGACTGGTGCAAGTCTCGATGTTGTGGTACCCGATGCTCCTCGTCCAAGTTGAACGCTCGTTCGCTTTGGCTCTTGACGAGCACGTCCTTCTTCTCCATCTTCCCGTCGAGGAACTGATTCAGAACGGTGAACCCACCGACCACGAACAGCACGAACGGCATGCCGACTTTGACGAACAAGTTGGTCTTCTTCCGCGCGGCTGCCATCCTTCGTTCCTCGAGTTGAAACGAAATTGGCAAGACCAGCCAATCCGATTTCATTGTCTGAGGTCTACGACTTTCGATTCGCTGTATTTTCACCAATCAATGCACAGAAATAGAAGGGAGTGCGATATTACTGGTTATATTTGAACCAATGAATTACCAACAATCCCCGTTGTACATGTTGTATTTTTCTTCCAGTGGCGGCGGCGAATTCGGCGGCGGCGCGCACGATGCACTTGAACTTAGGCCAATACATCTTCCTCTTTGGCGTGAGCGTCGGGTCCTTGTTCGCGGGATCCATCGCGATGCACTCAGTCCTCCAGCCTGACTTGGTATGGCTCGCTCCATGAACGTTTCCGTGGCGCTCACTCCTTGGTCCCTTCCAGACCATTCCAATTCTTCCAGACGACGATGCCGACGACTCGAAGCAGTAGACAATCCAATAAACGAGAAATTTCGATATGCGACAGCTCTTGGTTACAGGATGGCAGATCCATTTACATGGGTATCGAAGAACGAAGTCATCGAAAATAGCGGTCGTGATCAAGGTAATCTCGGACAGGGGGTGGGACGTGCAATGCGCGCTGGCGCCACGCCCGCGCGTCTTCCTCCGCTTGGTGACGTCGGCATCGCATCAAGTTCGTGCACAGATTGCAGTCGGTCGAGAAGAATCGCACGACAGGATGATGTTGCGTCATGAAGAACTCGGACTCGTTCCAGCCGTCGTAGGCACCAGTATACTCGCAATTGTGGGTAAAATTCCACCCGAACAGTTCTGACGTCGTGTGATAAAGCTGGGCGAGCTGCACGTCCAGTTCAGCATCTACGGGGAACTCCATCAGCATCGTCGTCCACACAGAAACGTTGTCGCACCCCTTGACATGTCCACTTGCTGCTGCTCATCCACATCCTCGCCCCAGTCCGGCCGCCGCCGCCGCCTTCCATGGTACTCGCGACCGCCATGGTCCGTGTCTCCCGCGTCGTCGTCGTAGTTGGATTCCACGTGTACAATGAACGAGTCGAACTTGCGCTTGAGTGGCAGCATCGGCTTGAATTCTGCCGCCGTTGGGTTCAGTGTGCGCGGGGTGGAAGCAAGATGAGCGTTCGAGGCTGACGAAGGCGCCTTTTTTGGTGATAAGTGCGACTGTGGAAGGGACAGCGTTGCAGTTGTCAGGAAGGGCTGGGACGATGCGGGCGGGGTCAGCGGCTCGGTAGGCGAGGGAGACATCGATTGCTTCTTCGTTGGGGTGGTGGGGAGGGAAAGGGACTCATTTGGACGATTGTCAATTTGTGCGTGAAAGTTTGGTACGATGTGAAGTGAAGGCGACGACGAGTTCACGACCTTCCGCCGCTTCTTCCGCTTCTTACCAGTGGACGTCTTGCCTCCTTGTTTCGTCTCTTGGTCCACTTCCTGAAGCAGAGCTTCCATTTGCCGCAGCGATTCTCTTTCCAGGTATGTCACGAAGCTCTTGATGATCAACTGCCGACTCGGTTTGTGAGACACATCGAGAGGTCGAGGTTGGGAGTACCTGTTCGAGCAACATGGCGATGAGATGCTGATACTCGTCCCAAGAGCTCACGCCTTCGCTGTCGTGGAAGAAGAGTTGGGTGAAGTCCTTGTCGCTCAAGACATAGGGTTGGCTGAGGAACCCATGCAGGTTTGCTTGGATGAGCTCAAACAGAGCCGATGCATGGCCGTCCTGGACGAGTTCGTTCTTGACCGTCATAATGCCAGTGCCAATGTCCATAAACTCCATGGCTTCCAGAAGTTCGTACGTCGGTTCGTCTGCGGTGGACGAGGAGGCTTTTTTGAGTCGGCGTTGCATGAGCCCCACACATAACAGCGAAAAGTTGAGTTTGTACAGCTGCTTGACGAGATCCGCTTCGTCGAGAAAGAGAACACTCTGGCGCTCCGTCACTGTCAAGTTGTTCCAGTAATCATTCACCCGCGCCGGCATGGACATCTGCCGCGTCATCTTCATGTACTTCTGCCACACCGCGCCGCCCATCGCACGAACCGATTGTTGGTCAACCCAGCAGATCACGCGGGTGCGTTCTCTTAAGTGCGATATTGAACCTTGGTTTACACTTGGTATTTGTATTCGTCGAGCAATCACCGAGCCTTCAACACGCGCCAAAACAAAAAACTGAATTTCGACGAACGTTTAAAGGAATAAACCCTGATTTAGCTGTTCAAAACCTGTCCTGCAGACTCGAGTACAATGTGGTTCCCCTTACATCCAGTAGGGTTGCGTCTCTTGTATTCCATTCTATACTTATGAAGCAGTCAGTGGGGATGCTCTAAATGCATTGGTACGAACAGAATTGTTCACATTGAGCTCTGGTGTAACGAGAGTTGCGTTGCCGAGAGAAAACACAAGGCGGTGTGGTTTCTTGTTAATACAAATAACGCATTAGGCGATTTTGACGTCGAACTTAAGAATTATCGAACACCGCCAAAGTTTCCAAATTCTTCGAGAAAGGAGCCACCATCACGGAGTTGGCCAGGCGGCGCCATCGCCGACGCAGGCAGACCATTATGGCAGCAAATGAAGTAGGACGGAAAGAGGCCCTGCATGCAATGGTGGGAGAGCAGATACGGTATCTCTTACGACGAATAATGGTAGCCTGGAGTTTCGACGATGGGTATGTGGGGCCGACTCCATAGGGGCAAGACCTGTGCATACCACCGGAGCTTTTTCTCGATCTCCCCCTGGAAAGCCTCGAATCGGCGAAAATTGGCCTCAAGTTGGCGTAGAGTTGTAGGGTTGCGCTCCCGGGACAGCAACCCGGCCAACTTGGACACACACAACGCCGCCATGGCATGTTTGACTTCGTTTTCATTCCGCCGCACTACGATTGTGCTCATGTAAATCGTTCGAGGTGACCATGACGAATGCGTACTCAGGTTGCAATACATGCACTGTTGAAACTTGCACGGGTAATGGGCGCGATGTCGTGCGATCGCGGCGCCTTCTCGCGTCGACAGCACTTTGGTGGGATCCACTTTGTGCGTTTCGTCGTACGTTTGAGTCCTCTGCGCCCACGCCGCACACTCTCGTTGGCAGTACCTGGTGTACTTGCAATTCGTGGCGTTGGTGATATGCAGCCCATCGTGCACCCATTCCCGCCACGTTGCCACGTTTGTGGCATTGCCTTGAAAAATGTACTCGCTGATCGGATCGCACCGACGCTTCCATGTCGGCATCTAACCATCCTTCATTACGTTCATCCAAGCATGCACATGGCATTACCGCAACGTGGCAAAAGTGGTTTTGGATTGGCGGTAGCTTGGTCGTCGGTAGCTGTAGCCGTCGGACCACGTCAAATGCTTCCTTGAGTTCAAGCTCGCACGTTTGCTTGCGAACCATCAGGGACTGCCTCTCATGCGCTTGAAACTTTGCTTCGGCGACCGGCACATCCGCCGACGGTGGCGGCACGACGGACAGCGCATGGCTGAGTGCAACGTATGTGTATTGCAGCCGCCGTTGCAATACTAGAATGTTGGTCCTTCAACGTGAGAAAAAGAAAAAAGCCAAGTATTAAAGAACACGCGAGGTAGGAGAAAAAGACACGACGCTCGCCATGAAGAAGAACGCGAGTAAAAAAAGAATGCAACAAGCAAGCGCTCGCACCATGGACACACAAGGCGCAGGTGGCGGCATGTGGGCACGTTTCGCAGTGCTGTGTGAGGTTCGCAAATGCCCGACACATCGCAGACCGATCGGGACAGGACACGCCGGCCGCGCAATGCTTCAGGTGGCGACTTGCAGACACACAGGCGTTGTCGCGACACTGCGTGAAATGGACACAGTTGACTGCATCGTGGATGATGCAATATGCACGAAGCTGTTCGATCAACATGATGTTGAGGGGTTCTAGGTGCTTGAGTTCCTATCGCAGGGTAAGGCATCGCTTACGACATTCGGTTGCTTACGTCGTCGGCTTCGTCAACGACCTCTGTTGTCATGTCGTTGTCATCATCGATAAAGACGATTTCTGGCCCGCCGTGTTCAGTAGGACTGCTGTCCAAGGAACTGCTTGAGTCGTGGATTGTTTTTTTGTCGCTTTGGCTGCTGCTAGTTGGGCACGCTGTAGCGTTCGTGCCTGATTGCATGGAGTTGGTCCCAGAGAACAAGGGCTGTTCGAACAAGGCAGTGTCCAGTGGCTTGGGTTTGCTTGAGTCCACCGCAGGTTGGTCGGCGGTGGGAACAGTCGTCGAATCTACAGCATCGTCTTGTGGAGCGTCAAGGGCTTGCCGGAGCAGCAGCATCTTCTCCTGGATCTGTGCCTCCAATGCATCCTCAACAGAGGCGATAGCTGTGTCAGCGGTTGTATCGCGCCGGGCGTGGTGTCGTGATGCCCCGACTGCATGCCATGCATCCGAGCACGGCCGGCAATGACGCACAGCTCCCTTCACGCCAGACGGCCTTGCACACGCATCGCACTCCACCGTCCACTTGGCGCACTTGCACCATGTGCACTCGGCCATCTCGTCTTGGGATTGTTAGTCGATGCAAACAGCGGTAATCCTAAACCATTTGAAGGTGTCCGGATAACAATATCCGGGAGAAATATTTTCACAATGTTTCAAAATCATCTTCTGGCACAAGAATATGTCTTGTAAAACACCCCCCGATAAGAACGATTTGCCAGGTTGAAGGTAGAGAATTGCGTACTCCGGGGCAAAGCGCAGGTCATGCGTATGTTTCCTGCAGATGGCGCCGTGGCGAGAGCCCCCATCGTGCATGTCGCCGAACGTTCGACCTCGTCGTCTCTCGGTAAAAGCGGTAGGTGCGCCGTAGACGAGACATACAGAAAATGAATCGTACTTTACGTATTTTCTGATGTCTCACTTAAGTACGTGACTGAATGGATTCGCAGGGGAGAACGACAACGGCGCACGAGCTGCTGAACGGCGCTGGCCGACTCTGCGATGTCTGCCACGAAATAGGTAGGCATGATGTCGGGGCACATCGTTTGGCCGTCTCTACGCTGTTGACGCTGCGGTCGTCCTAGGAAACACAAGGTGCTGATCACTTTTGTGGCGGCGCACTCGTTTTGCGCGGGCAAATCATGCCATCTGAAGGCGTCCTTCTTACAACAGCAAGCCGTCGTTGTCGTAGAGGTCTGTCTTGCTGGAGAGTATAGTTGAGATCGCTTCTCGGAGTAACACCGACTTGACGCTCGACCGGACCGGTTGGTTGGGTTTGCCTCCAACGCCAGCACCCATTACTTACCGGGCCAAATCTCCATCGACGGCGACTACTCACTTTGGTGTTACAACCGTCAGCGTGAATATCTAAACCTGTTTGTCGTGGTGGGCACAGAGCCACAGCGGCATACCCAAGCGTTGGTGCTGACAGGACGCACGGGCACCTGCAAGGGGATTTCTCGGTGGGCATGATGCGCGATCGCCAGTTGGGGCGTGAAAATTTCACTGCCCTTCTTGCGGTACACACGCGCAGAGTGGGATTATTCTGTTTATCCCAGCCCATCATCCGGATAGCATGACTGGTTGTGGTCTGAGAAGGATGTTTTTCCCATTAAGTCCCGCTTGCCCGAGTTCGGCTGTGCATTTCATCCGGACGTCGACCGTGGTGAGACGACCATTTCGGGTTTTTCCACGGCAGAGGTGATGATGCGTGGCCTTTTCCGAGGCGCCGCCGTCGCGGCAGCGATGGTGATGTCCGTGACGGCACAGCTGACGGACTTCCCTCTGTGTCGAGGCAATCCCGTGTCTTCGTACAGTGCGGCAGTGAATGAGTACCCGGAACTCAAGAACGCGATTGAAAAGGTCAGCCAGCACCAAATTGTGACGTGGTGGACAGACAACAACCCGGACTACGACAAAGAGATGCAAAAACTCCTCAACAACTGCAACGCTTCGACGGTGCCCACGATCGTGGTGTACGGCCTCCCCAACAAGGATTGCAAGGCCGGGTTCTCGAACGTGGGTGCGAACAAAGACTCGGACATGTACGTGAGTTTTGTCAAAGAGCTTGTGTCGTTGGTCGGGACCCGACCGGTCAATTATATCCTGGAGCCGGACGCTGTTGGTCTTGCTATCGATACCGAGTGCGGGAAAACGGCCGGGTACCTCGACAACATGATGACAGTGATCCCGATGTTGACCGAGGACAATGTGAACGCGAGTCTGTACATTGATGTGGGGTACTGGGCGTTCAAAACGGAAGAAATGTCGGCGGAAGTTGTGCAGGCTATCAAGCAGCTCGCATCCAAAGGCGGCACAGTTCGCGGTATTGCCTTGGGCACGTCCAACTACCGCAAGACGTCCGAAATGAGCGACTTGTGCGCCAAGTTCGTCAAGGCGTCCAAGAAGGACTACAAATGTGTGATCGACACGTCGCGCAACTACCTCGGTCCGAAAGAAGGCACAGGCGAATGGTGCAACAGTCAATATGCCGCAATCGGGGTGCCCCCCACGTCGAAGACTGAGAACGATTTGATCGATTACTTCCTTTGGATAAAGACCCCCGGTGAAAGCGACGGACCTTGTAACACCCCCGATATCTCGAAGGACGCCCTCAAGCATGGCCCACCTGCCGGCAAGTTTTTCGAGAAAGCTTTCAGCTTGATGTGGGACCGCGGGTACTTCGTGGACAAGAAGCTCGGTGACAAAATTGGCCGGTATTCGTTGGAAGTGGAACAAATCCAAGAAGGTGGAGGCATCAGCTACGTTGCGCTCATCGTCATTGTCGCGATTTGTATCGTCCTTGTCGTCGGCATTGTCTTCTTTAAGCGTCGCCACGACGCCAAGCAAGGTCGCGCCCGTGCCAACCACCGCCAAGTGGACGCCGAAGCAGCGGTGCGCAAGCCATACTTGTCTCTTTAAGTAAACTTAATTGCACAAACATATATTTTCGGTGCGAAGGTATATTAGCACTGCGTGAATTGTTCGAACAATGTGGCTAGCAAACTTCTTCATTCCCTCAGGTCCGTGCCATAAATTGTCGCCAAGTCACCATTACATATGACGTTATGGATTGACGGCACAATGTGCCGAGAGCAGCAGGTGCAAGTACTGCGCATGGCACTGGTTTTTCATATGAAGTGCATCGCTTTATCGATTCTTGATGCCTTCATTCTGGCCATTTCATCGACGATATGACTTCGGCGATCGCCGAACTGCGAGTGTGTAATTGTGAATAGCGCAAAATCCCGTGAATTGCAGCACCTCGACAAAACATGACTTACAGTCCACGAGACCATCGAGGGGTTTTTTCAACGAAATTCATGTTTTGCCCAACGTTGGGTGATGAAATTGCACATACAGACGTGGATTTTTATGCTGAATTCAACTGTAATTCTTATAGAGCCTGAAACCTTATACCCTTCGATTTCGTCTAAATTCACCTATAGCAACCTA